GATACTTAAAAAGACCCACTCTCCCTTGTCTTCCCCCTATATATATGTCCTTTTCTAGAGCCTAGCTTAGATACGCTTGAGTGTGGGCGCATTCACTCTGCTATGCGTTTGTAGAAGACCTTGTCTTTACTTGCAACTTGTGCGCGCACTTGGGCGCTGTCCGCTTCCTTTACTTTTACTTTCCCTCTTACAATTCCCCTTTTTCCCCAATTTCGCTTATTCTCTTCTGTGTCATTACATTGGACTTCGATGTGGGCCAGGCCCTCACACGAGTACGTCCAATATTACAACTACTACTGTTACTGCTGCCAGAGTCCACGAGTCGTGGAGCCATTTTCACGGAGCGTCGCCGGCCAGCAACATCCGTGCGAGCGCGCGCGCGGCTGTACGCCATTCGACGAGATCTAATTGAGTTGTTGTTTGCTCATGAGCAACGCGGGTTGTCACACGGCAAAACAGGCACTCATACAAACAGACAGGCACATGGCGTTATGAAAGGCGGGCGGTCGGGCGCTGACAAACGAAGTGTGAGAGAATTGACTACCGGCTTCGTCCAGGGAGGTGTAATGCGTTTTTGGCGAGGGATTTTCGAAACACGTGTGTATATTGGGGAACGGGGGTACGTGAGTAAAAGTGTTTGAAATGAACATTGCTATATAGCACACACGATACAACCAGATTCACAGAGACGTCCTGGGTCTCACCAGACCTCGACGATCAGTTAAAGCTTCGAGGCTTATTGGCACCTTGCTAGCGCGTATTGCAAAACGACGCTGTACTCGCGCCAATGTCGATTGTCTGTGACATCCGTCTTTAGAGGGCATGGGAAACGAACTATGAGTAGAAACGAATAGATAGAGCAAATCACGGTGGTGCAAAATGGCGCGCCTTCGTCGATATCCTTGTCCTACAAGGATTTTCGATAAGAAGGACGACTTGTTCAAAGGTGAAATCTTCGAGGATGTGAATGCTTCATGTAGGGCGAGCACCGATAAGGAAAGAATATTCGCCAATGACGAAAATGACGAGGGCTGTATAGAAGGGTGAAATAGGTGCAGTCTGCGAGTAACAGAGAGGAAAAGACGATCCAGGCGACTCGTTTACTCAGAGGTCTCGAACTTAGCGAAAATTGAGCCCATAGGCTAAAAAATTCAACTAATGAGCCATTACTGCATTTTGTTCTGTTTTTAACTTGGAACTGATAATACTTGGAAATAATAATACGTTTCCCTACAACCTCAGCAGTCATTTAGTACCTATTGGCCATGTATGGATAAAGGTAGCGTTTGAATATAAAAGTTTAGGAGTTCCGTTTTTAAGCTTGAGTCATGAATTATTAGGCTTCTGGCATTTTCTTCATGGCGCGTTGTCTTTTTTTAATTTTATGAGATAGCGCATGTATATACATATATATATGTAGACTTAAAAAACAACAAATGAAAGGAATACATATATGTATATATAGCCATGCAATTTTACATAAAACATACTGGCTGCCTCATAATAATTCAACCCGGTATTGAAATCCAATAATTATTAAGTGGTCTATTTCAACAATAATTAGTTACCACATCTATTATATGCGACGATAGACGCACACGCCTCTATAATATATGCCTACTAGCTAATATTGTTATATGTAATATCATATTGTGTGTTATAATATAATGTAGTGCAGAGCAGCTGTACTTACTTTTCACGACAGAAGGTCAGCTGAACGGACAGGTGCTGGTGTTTCGCAAAGGTCTCTCACCATTGTAATGTTAGGCTAAAAATACATACAATTTTTAGTAAGGACCTTCCCTGAAAGAGATTCAGTGTTGCAGCTGGTAGATGTTCACTATAAACTTTTACTTATTTATTTACTTTTCTTAAAACTGGGTGGCTGATATCTTAAAACATTCCGACCCGCAGACTGAGAGTTGCCCTTGTGCCACAAGAAGGGATCAAGATTTGGCGGAGCAAAGAAAAAAGCAGGGAAAGCACACAAAATGAAGCTTTGTACGGCTGGTACGAATTCATCTGTTATAAGACTAATAGAAAGTGTTTTCTGTTCGACTTCAAACGGTACTAGTGAAGCAGCTCAGCGATCACCGAAAGAACATCCGCTGCTGGTAGGAACGAATTAATGAAGTCTTCGGTGCCCTGAAGGCCTCAGTAGGCTATGGAGTGACATGTGACAATGCAACGGATCAGGCCAAAGGACACCGCGTTCGTGCTACTTCGGCTAAGCGTATCGTAAAAGCGTATCGTAAAGTAAAAGATTGGTTTATAATTTCAGCGTCATTCATGGTTTCAAGTGCAGGTAAAATTAGGATAGCCTCATGAGGAGCATCTATATCATGCGATAACAAAACGTCATGGTGCGACGATCCAAGCCGGAAGCCAGGCAAGAAATATTTAGACCGTTTTCGTGGCCGCGATTCTAGCGTTCCGCAGCATCATCAGTATTCACAACGCCTTAGAAATAGGACCATTTTACTATTAAGATTAAAACGAAAATTGATGATTACACAAGTTCGCTACATATAAAAGGAACTTGTACCCCATTATAATTTGCAGCATTGCCACGAGAAGACAGCCAAACTATTGGAGCCTATTTAGATGGCAGCTAGGTATTTTGCTCTTCAAAACGACGGTTAATCTCTATAGCAAAGACTCAACCTTGTCAAAAATAAATGATCTTTTAGATCAAAGCTTCATTGAAAAGTTTCCGGTCTGCTTTTCGAAAGTCTCCGTCCTGTTCTTGCATGGAAACAGACATTTGAACAGTTTATAATCTCGTTGGAGGTTCGTTATCTGTAGACGTATGGAATAATATCTAATTTTTGCTCAGATCAGGACTGTTTTTGCCCATAATAAGCCCGCTACCTTGTTCTATAAAGAACTGGCACAAAAATATCGCGTGCACGCACTTCCGCGACAGCAAGCAGCCCGCCAAGATCTATCCGAATTTGGCCGTTTATTACATGTTGGTCGCATACGTCGTCGTATGTATACGTCGAAACAAATAACCCTACCAGGCAGTGTATTAGTTTCCTACAAGACTCTGTTATTAACAAGACTCTAACGCTAAGTGCCAATATTGCAAATGACGTTCAATAAAACGTTCTTATCTATTCAAGCTGGTGTTTATACTGTTATTCTACTAGTGGGAGAGTGCCACTGCATTACATGTCTGATCAGAAGGATCTGAAGGAAATAGTAAATAAATAACAAAAAAAAAAACTCAATAATTGTGTTTAATAATCGTGAAATTGTGATCATCATCATCATATATTGGCATTGTCGAAGTGCGCTACAATGATGTAATGAATCGTGTGTAGCACCGAGTGAACTTTTCTACAGACGGATATCTTCAGAACAAACAAGCGATGCTCCACATTTCCAAAGAAAAGAGAGCGACAATCTATGAAATGTTTGTCAAAACGCTATTTTCCGATGCCCCTCTGTAATAAAAAAAAAAATAACATCATTTTTGCGTTAATTTAACAGTTCGCATACGTTTTCTAACTGGAGTTTGTCCTGTTAATAGCAGAAGTTGTAGTGGTCAGATCGCGCGCAGACTATAATGTTTCGTTTGAAAAATCTACAACCAGCAGAGAGGCTAGCGACGAAGTGGAAGGCTGACTGATCGATGAATTCAGAACTTAGAATCTAGCGATTTTCTAGACGAACAGATAGCATTACCAAGACTTCAGACTGCGTTCTATAGCCATAATAATCAATAATAGCTAACTTCCAATCTAAGAAACTTATCTCTATTCGAGAAATTTGAAAATGACCACATGCAAGCTTTTTCTCTCAGATCATCCATACACAGTTAAGAACCAACGGTCGGACGGAAATGCGATGGGTGGGAAGATGACGTCAGCATATTTCGTAGGGTTTTCATTCGTATTGATGCTGATACGAAGGATCGTCGCACGGAGTATATGAATAGCATGCATTGTGTTTTTTTTTTTTTTTCGTTAAGCTTCGTTTTTGGCCAGTTCAAATTTTGGCTCTTGCTTGATACTCGTTAGCTGTAAGCTAGATGCCCTCACAGGAGCGAGCTACTCTGTCGAATGACTAGAAGTACCAACACCGTACTTACAGTCGTTCTGGTGGTTTAAGGCGTCAGCATCATCATAAACGAAATGCAGCAACATTGCAGTGAAACAAAAACTGTGTTTGTTCCATACGGTAGCTTCTGCTTTTGTCTGCCCTACGATTAAGTCTCACGATAAGAGAACGAGGTTCGGGGCTGTGGCTAGATTGAGAAACGAAGTACAACAACGGGCGATGAGTTGGCAATTCGAAATAGTTCTGCGTAACGCTTTACCTCGTCCTCGGTCAATCCTCGGATCTGCTCCTGATCAAAAACTTCTTAAATACGTAACGTGTCAGCTACAAAATAGGAGCTCAATCAAAGGGTATATTATTTTGAGTCGTTTGGAAACTATGTCAAACCACATTTCACGCCTTTCTGAAAGATCCACATGCTAAATTTAGTCCCATAGTCGACTAAAAATGAGCGACTTCCAGCACAAAGCTAGATCTAGTAGCATCTTAGTTACATCAACCTTGTAAACTATACTTTAGGTTTGCATGACACGCTTATCCTGTTACCTGTCGAACATCGTCCTGCTATCGAAGATTACCACCGCACTCTTATAAACTATTCATAATTTAACAAAAAAAGAAACTGAGGTCCGATTAAGTAATCCTATGCGTACAAGCGGCCTTTGATACAAGCGTCTCTTAACTAACCTACTACTGTTACCTGAACTGTCCTGAAATAAATTGGGAAATTTCAATTAGCGCCCAGGTCAGCGTGATCACTTCGTTTCATCATTTGTATAACTTTTTTTTTAAAAATTAATTATAATAACATTTCAAAAAATGCAAACGCTTATACACGAACAAGTATTACGTTTATATAAAACACTCATTTACATCGTCGTTGATTAGAGATTTCAATACATTAATTTATTTTTTGTTTTCATTCATGCCACGTCAGAAACAAGATACATTTTGTTGCGGGCTTTCGCTGTTCAGGGTGATTTGGCGGGGCCTATTTGGAGAATATCGATATGGGCATGTGGAATTGATCAGGTCTAGTTTTTTAGCTTGCGACCTGTCGTAATTTATAAATTAGTGCTCGTTGACTCGGCGTGTTATCGGGAAGCTTTCGAATTTCTGCTGAAAGCCACGTGTCCATAGGACAGGATGTACAAACATCAACAGGAATCACTCCCATAAACTGTGCATTCTGAAGCATGGCTACTTGAACCGTTTGCATGAGTCCGTTATCTTCGTCGAGCTTGTCAATGCGGAGCTCGCCATAATCAAGGTTCGGTGCAGAATTCAACATGTACACTGTTCCGTGAACTAGGGTAGGAAGCATACTCTCACAACTATAACTGTATTTGCCGGTGTCAATTGAAGGGCCCCAACGTCCGTTCGAAAGGTTTAGACTTGTCAAGCACTTATGGCGAGTTAGCCCGCACGGGCTGCATTCGACATTAGATTGATACCAAAACAAAAAAGTATCATTCCTTTGAATAGCAGTTAACCAGTGTGCACCACATAAGCGATTTTTCGACTCGAGTGGGTAGCTTACATTCATTACACGGCCCGTTATGGGATCGATGAGGCTACTAGAATAACGGTGGAAGATCAGCTGATCAGACGATGCCGTTGTGACCAACGCTTCGCTTGAGGCTGGTTGCATTTCGAAGTGGCCAGTTGTTCCACTGAATTGGTAGATATTTGGAAATTTCAGGTAGCCTAAACCTGAGTTTTCAATTAAGCGTAGAATACCATCTTGGCCCGCGTACAATCGGGGGCCGAGAAGCATTGGAAGACGTGTAGTAAATTTAGGTTTAAGCGGAAGAAGGAAATGGTCAGTACGAGCACGGAAATGGTAAAGATGTCCAAAACTGTTTGAATATAGCATGTGGCCGCAGACTTCAACATCGGACAAAACTGGAACACTCGTCCAATCTCCGTGTATCAGGGTGTCGTGACGCTGGTCGAGAATGCTACAGGTTAAAACTAAGCGACTTCTTTCAAAACCGACTGTGTTACAACATGTGTTCCTGTGCCAATGCTGCTGCCACAAAAAATGACAATGAGCCATTGTATATTTCCGCCGTCGAAACGTCGACTCCTCTAAGTTCCAGTTATTGGCGTCTGTTAACTCCAGCAGACCCTTAATTGGGCCGAACGTCTGTTTTAAACGTGCCACAGTAGTTACCTTGAGGAACGGGAATCGGATGAGTTCTTTTAAGGCGTCGACGTATCCTTTTCTGTCTTGCGGTTTCCGATGAAGCCAGGCGACGAAGAACTCATACACTGAATCTTCATGCGGCACAACGAGATCATCAGATTCGAGTAGAGCCCGCATTAGGTTGGGTTCGACTTCAAATAGAAACTGATCTATTGACACGAGTGGAACAATGTTCTCTGCCAGGATCTTGACCGCAGCTATGCGGAGTTCACTCATACAATGGTGGTCCGCAATGTAATAGATTTCGATGGCGTTGCCTAGGTTAACGTTGCCTTTCAAGAACGTCGAGCATTTCATCATCAATCCCTCGATAAGCAGATACTGTGATGCTATCAGAATGTCTACAGCATCGTCAATGGTAAGATCTATGGTTTGCTTGTAGATGAAGTCAATGATTTTCGTCATTATTCTGAGGGAGATTAGCTTCAACTGGACCTTAGATAGCTTGACCTCGACCATACATCCAGCGAAGAGTCCCTGGAAGTATCCAGAAGCGTTGGCTAGCACATTTTTGTGGGCAGAGAGACTGCCTTCGTCGCATTCTATTATGAAATCGCAGGGTCTCCGTTTGCACCTAAGCTGACAAGGCTTTTTGCACAGGGAATGCAAATGTGTAGGTTGCAATTGAGTTGATTCAGCAGTTCCGGTGACTGTCATTTTTTCCAAAATTCTGACTATTTTTTGCCACTTTCCAGTGATTCATCGGCCAAAACAATCAAATTGACAGCTCGATCACGTCTTTTTCTCAGTCATTCGTGCCACAAGCAACTGTAGTACCAGCAAAAGAAGGCTATTTTCAATACGATTACTAACAGGAACCTGACTCTCATATGACACCCCGTTGAATTAGTAGCAGCTGCAATCCACAGAGCTCACACACAGCCCACGCCTTCTACAAGCACTTCAACTTCATCACACTGAAGAATTGATGAAAGCCAGACGAACATAGTAGAATAGCGATTGCAGCTACACCGAAGGTCGAAGCACAATTAAAAAAGCTGCGTGCTCAGGGTAACAAGAGAACACTCAAGAAGGTAAGGGGTTATTCCTTGCCCTTTCAGGCGCGGACAACTCTGATCTGAGGTCGCCGGTTTATAGCGAGCATCAGATTGTCAACAGGTCAACACTGGTAGGCAATTAGACGATTCATTTTAGTTTCAGTTAGTCGCCATCTAAAGGACGAGATACAGTCATTTCAATAGATATTTGGCCCAAATGGTACAAAATTTGCAATACTATAATTCTATCAAAACTATTCTTATATGTCTAGAAGTTTGTTTATATTTATTGCTTGTATGTGGCAACCATTTCGAAAACAGCTTTAACGATGTTTGTATTCTGTTTGTCTGTCGACGTGTCCTGAAGAGAAAACACCGTCCTGAACATGACATGTTTGGAAGAAAAATTTCTTTACGCCAAAAAAAAAACGCAAAAATGTTTTTCTATACACTGGAATGTAAGCTGGGGGAGAACGACCGTTTTTGGGCAATTTGTTCAGCGATGATCGAAAATTTCAAAAACATCTGTAAGAGGCCATGTACAGCTGAACAAGCGGGTCTATGTAGCAGCGAGAAGAGATGCACTCCCACCGAGAGAAAGCCTCAATGACGTACTGAGAGAACGTGGCGGTGACCAGGTACGTCCCGAGATGCTATCATGCTGCTACTGACTCGTGTGCCACACCAGTCTCCATTCAACTGTGCAAGTGATGTTACCATCGATCCAAATGACAAATCGAAACAAGTTAGCTCGCAAGATCTGATCTTTATGTTTCGAGTTTTACGTCCGGTATCGGCGCTAGGCGTCGTTTCATCAGACGGACGGCTGGTTAGCTGGCTGCCAGCGTGAAATGAAGTCTGTCTGTCTATGTCCAGGCTCGAACCCGGACGACAACTTATCCCTAATATTTGTCACAAACCTACCTAAGTCTTCTTGTTGCTTCACCATTTCTTACAGAATCGAAGTGTTTGTTGTACCGGTGATGAATTATATCCGTAAAACGTTAGAGTTGGTAGAGTGCCAATGGCTAATGGCAGTCAGGCTGGAACAGGGTAGGGTTTCATCGGTACATAATAGGGCTTAGCAGCAATCTCGTCTGAAGGCGAAGACAGGCCCCGATAAGCCGAGTGCAGTTCCTGTAGCCTAAAGTCAAAGGACAAGTAGGCGGACAACGTGTGTCCATGAATTTGGGAACGTATTGGAACCGTAGCGACCTGTCGGCAGAAGAATGAGTTCGGAGGTTTGAACGAGTGAATTGGTGTGGACGGTTAAAACGAGTGTTATTGATTACGATGGTCAGTGCAGCGTGTCTGTAACATCGTAGGTATGGAATCGAGGGAGATACATACGATAAATGGAAACGCAAGTCCGTAACGGGATACGTATACTGTACACTAGAATACTAGGCAATCAAGTTGCACTTGGAGACGACATGAGTGCTTTTCAAAGACGATGCAATTCGGGAGCCAGCTATCGTGCCAATATGTGTACACGAAAAAAAGGTACGGGGGATTTAAAAACATAATAGTAACAAACGGATATATGTCGGTATTCTACTATTGATCGATGAAGTTAAGGCATACGCTAATAGACGATGTATCTGAGCTGGTGCGTGTACAAGGAGTACACACGTCAATTGATAAGAAGCTGACGCTGAGTCACGTAATATGGTTTTGCTCAGACCAGCAGAACGGTTAATGGCGACGACAAGAGTCGACGCACAAGTTAACGCGTCAGGGCCAAAAAAGGATTTACATACTGCTGCGGCCAGGTAATCACCGTTCGGCTTGTTTGTGCACATGGCCAGTCAGACGTTGTGGCGAGGGCATAGGTCGACCCAGTCAGGTTCCACAACAAACAACAAACCAAGACGGCTGTTCAAGGAGCAGTTGACTAAGAACAGCCGTCTTGGAACAGTAGAACAGATTAACTGTCGCCGCGTAAATCTAAATAACGGTGCTTTCTCGAATTGCTCGAATAGATCAGATCGACGGAGCCTGCAAAAGTAAGCAGAATTTATGATGTTAGTGGCAGTAGCAGCGTTGCGGAATAAAGGTGTTCGTTTTGCCCAACTAAATAAAAATCTAACTTGGATGCTCGAGATCTGACGATTTCTTTTCTTATTTATTTATTTGTGTACATATAGAAGTTGTTTAGCTTTTTAAACTCTATGCATCAAGTTAGCATGACATTAGGTTCTATAAGAAAAATGTATAGTTTCATTTTCTGCCATTGTATAATTCTGTCCCTAAGAGACAGTTGACAACTTCCGAAAGGGTCAATCTTTGCGCAGTAATCTCAAAAAGATCAACGGCTGCTTAATCGTACGGAATAAATAACACACGACGATGGGTCACACCCCGTCGTAACGGTGGTAGAATGTGTGAACCAACGTAACGTACCGTCGAATCGATATAGTCGGATTGTTATCATCTATCAGCAGGATCACACGGCTACGAAGGGCAGTGATCGATTCATGCTGGCAGGAACCAGCCGCATCTAACGCAACGCCTAAGCAGGACCGTACCGGTCATGAACATGGAAATACATTTTTAAAAATTAATCTAAAGCGTCGCAAAGACGCCAATGCAAACAGTTTAGCGCCCCTACACAGGGGCGTCGTGAGGCTAGCAGACGGATGAACTCAATCTATAAGCATACTTCAAATTCTATTGAGTCGCGTAGATTCTTTTGTTTCAGAAGCTAAACAATGGGTCAAAGCGTATATTTTCGTTTGTTGCATGCCGGCAGATCGAAACCGCAGAGGCCAGTCTTTTACATATAGTCGGCAGACCCCCTGACATAACACAGTCGTCATCGGGCAAAAGCACCCGCTTCATTTTCAACTGAAAAGGATGCCTGTTGACATTTTTTAAGGATGAGTAAATTCTGTTTAGTTTAATATAGTCTCTACAGATCTCTCTAGTACAGATCTATTCGTCAATTAAAAGACGAGCATAGAGAAATTCAGTCAGGGTAATTGGAAATTATCTTTCTATTATATATATATATATATATATATATATATATATATATATATATACAGAAACGCAACTGCTTATTTTTGTACTATATAGGTAAATTTTGTCTTGTTAAAGCTATTTGCTTATGATTTGTTGTTTAATAAAATTCTGTTAAATGTAATTATTTCTCATTATTTAAATTGATCACTTCTAACTATCTCGGTATCGTAGTTAATAGTAACAATATCTGATAGATAATAATAATAATAATTAAAGTGAGCTAATTTTTTTTTCATATCAATACTGTTCACGTAGCGTTTGCTACGTCTTCCATAAGTAAGTTCTATGATTCCAAAAAAAAGTTGTTAAATTATAAGAGAGAACTTTACTGCTCTCTTCAGATCCTACATGGAACCGGAGCTAGCCTCGAAAACGATACTTTACCTACATAGCAATCGGGATTTTGTGCTGTTTTTTGCCGAGTGTTTATGTTCGCCTCAGATTGCGTAACAGCTCATGTATCGGCTGTTTTAATATTTTTAATGGCAAGTTTAATAACGGCAAGTTATCAACAAATAACAAATATAATAACTTTTTCAGCCCACAGTAGAAAGAACTGTACTTTCTGAGCTGGTAAATAACGTCGGCCTCAATATATACGACTGGAACATTGATGCAACAACGAACACGAAAGCTTATATAGACGCAGAGCTCCACTGCTAGCTAAGTGTCACTTTGTCAACTATAGCCAACCCTATATATAGGTTCGTTAACCTAAAATCATTATCTCTACCTGGCAATGAACAATCTGTTTGAACGATCCGCTGCGGCTTCGGCGGCACAATCGTCCCGAGCAGGTGTTTTCTCAGCTGCGTCTATACATCACCGCTGATATATACAAAACGTGTATATATATATATTCCTTATTGCAGCGTCAACTGCTAGTTCGACGCTAGTTTTAGCCTGTAATCACCTGTGTACGCCGCGTGTTCAATCATCAACAGAACGACGTTTATGAACGTCTCCCTTTTTGGTGGGTGTGTGTCTGTATGGGTCGATGCTGCGCTCAGTGGGACCAAGAAGCATTATAGACAATCGAGTTCCCGTTAGTCACTCGGTCCCGCTACCATCCAGTGTACCGGACGCTTCTTGCACGCTTCTGCAGCCCAAGAACTTAGTAAACTCTCACCTGCTAGCGTGTACATTTCACCGAGAGCAGCGGTATACACAACACGGGATCGTCACGACGCAAATAGAGAGTTCGATGAGTTGTGTCACCATTCTATCAGTGATCACCTAATGATGTCGCTGGCATTTTAAACACAAACCTGTCAATCTGTCGTCTGCTGTTGACTAACGACGCGCCCACAGAGCAGCCTCATGGTCGAGGTCGAATTCCCGCTAATGCGTATGAGCTTTTTTCAGCAAGCCCAGTTGACGACAGTAAGTGAGGTTGCTGCATTGGACGACAAGTGTTCCCAAATCCGGAGGGTGTGGGATAGCGGACAAACGTGAAATTGGCGCGGGGGCAGAGGGGGGTATCTTTGGCGGGAGCCCGAACACCCGCTGGTGCGGAAATGTATTTTAATATTTCAATTCGCTATATCTCGGCACGACCCAGGCGGTCAGTGCGCCTCGCCTCGGCAGATGAAACAGGTTGAAGCTGCTAGTTGTTTTTACTGAGCCGAAGTGAAATTCGGAACACGTCTATTCTGTGGGGGTTCCAATCGTGGACTTCATTA